TTCCCGGGGGCCTTCTTGGTTCCCGCCCGCGCGGCGGAGGTTCCCGCCCCCCTTGCCCGTGTTTTTGGAGGGGTTGCCGCGGCCCCCCCCCCGTTGCCCATTGTTGTTGGTGGTGGCCCCCCCGTCCTTCCGTTTTCCCTCAAGGGAGGACAGGTGGGCCACCCCCCCCCCGTTGGAGGGGCCTTTTTCCGCAATGAACGGGAACCCGGTGCCGAGGCCGGAGGACGTCCATTCCCCGCTGCTCCCGTTCTTGTTTTGGCCCGTGCCCCCGCTGCGGGATTCCTGGTGGCTGTTCCCCTGGTGGGCGTTCGTTTTTTTTGCCAGTTGGCGGACGCTGGCATCGCCAATGTACCCCTGGGGGAGGGGGGGGGGGGGGGGTAGGGTTAAGGTCAAGAATGGATGGCGATTCCCAAGGCATCTTAAGAGTCGACGAGTCGTACGTACATGAGATCGGCTCGAGACGTGGCCCAGAAGGGGAGAGCTCTGGAAAAATCGTCAAGTCACTACACACAGCAGCTGTGGCGTTGAAAAAGCAGCCAATTTTCATGACGCGCGTCGAAGCACAAACAACAACTTTTTACGCTACTACTGGCTGGGACATCACAAAACCAACCAAAAATTAAAGGCCAGGTAGCATGCATACATGCGTACCTTGCCCACGATCTCGTCTGTCGCCAGGGAGAGCGGCCTGACGCTACACACCGCCGTCGTGACGCCGTTCAGTTGCGACAAGCGGCCGCTCAGCTCGCCCAGAAGGATGGCCCCTTTTCTTTTCTTGAACCTCACGGTCATGCGCTGGGATCGATTTTCGTGTCGCGACACGCGCGGACGGGTGGGAGGCGGCAAGAAAGGGACCAAGGAACGAAAACGACGAAAGACACGTGAGAAGGAAGGAAGAAAGCAAAAAAGCAAGAAAGCACGCCATTCAAGCACACATGGACACCCAAGCGGAGCTTCGTGCCTCGCCCGTTCCTTCATCATTCTTGAAAAAAGAACAAAAAAATAGCGGACTACCCTGCCGTACGACGGCGTCGTTGCCAAGACTAGCTAGCATAGAGGGAGAACGTGAAGAACGCTTGTTCGTGCCATGCAGAGAGAGAAAGCCACGAAAGAAGCAATGCGGGGGCGAACAATTTCGTCAACACAACTCGAAGGCAAGCACCGCGGGTAGGGGCCCGGGCTCCAGGGGGAGGCTCCTTCTGTGTGACCACGGAATAGAATTTTTACACGGCACAGTATGCTGTGCCTTGGTAGACACGTGCAGTTTTCCTCTGTTGCTAACGTTTCCGTCTTGAATCCGGAGAATAGCTTAGCCTCCCCCTCACGGGTTCCCAGTAAATGGCATTTAAAAAGTGTTTTCTGTTTTTGGCCGCACGGAACTGACGTATTTTCATTGGCCAGCCGGTTAGCGCGGTCGATGCCAACAATTAAGACACACACACACACACACACACACCTCGTGCAGCAGGGAGCTGTTTGTCTCCGAGACGTCCTTTGCGGCGGTGTCGATTAGGACGCGCAGGCGCTTCGAGCAGTCCTCGGTCATGAGGTCGAAGAAGCAGGCCGAGGTCAGGTCCTCCACCGACAGGCCGAACTGCGCCGACGCCGAGGTGCTTGCGAACCAGACGCGGCCGTTCGCGGTATCGAACGCGAACACGGGGTCCGGAATCACCTCGAGGATGTCCTCGTGCCGCTGCAGGTCCTGGTTCTCGTACCGCAGCTCCTCGATGAGCGCCTTCTTGCGTTTGCGGCTGAGCTGGGCCGACTTGCGGTTGGCCGCGCGCTTTTGCAGCTTCTTCTCCTGCTGTCGGATGTGCTCCTCGAACGCGTCGTGGCTCGCGAAGCCCGCCGCCGAATGCTGCTGCTGTCCCTGTTGCGGCTGCTGCGGCTGCGGTTGCTGCTGCTGCTGCGGCGGCGGTTGTTGGTGGGGCGCTCCCGTCGGCGAGGGAGACGGCAACGCACCCACCGGGGCCATGTACGGCTGCATGGTCGCCGGCCCGCCCGCGGGGGAGACCGCCACCGCCGTGGGCGGCGGCATTCCCCTCATTCCGGCCATCCCACCGACCCCCTGCATCGTCCCGATCCCGTGGTGCATGCCGCCCACGCCCGAGAAACCCCCAGGCAGCCCGGTGAGGTGCATCGCCACCGCCGCCGAAACGTTCGCCACCGCGGCCAGGGGCGCGGCGGCGGCCACCGTGCGCCCGCCGTCGGGCATGCTGTTCGAAGGCGCCG